TACATGATACAAAGGAGAAAAAGCTCATGCCACAGAACACTCATGAATTCTATGGATTTTACAATGGAAAACCATCAACCCTGGCTGTTATGTCTTGTTAACTACGAGTGTGTTCACAGTGATTTACGAGATAACTCTCAGTTCTGTGGTAAACTTGGGTTGTTGAAACATACCGTGCAAGATCTCCAAGGAGGCATTTCTTGTATAAAAGGCATTATTTCTGGCCTAGGAAAGTCATCTCTTTTTTGTCTTCATCCCCCCACCACACACACACACACACACACACTAGATGTGGGGAACTACTCAGACTGCTTCAAAGCCCAAAGGTGTCTAAGGACACCTGAGGGTGTGACCCTGATCATCTACCATAGGTTCACAGTGGGATACAGTTATGTAACCATGACTTAGCACAGGTAAACACACATGTGCTGGTCATGGCACTATGTAAGAATGTAAATATGAGATAGCAACCTGTATGAGAATTATACAGTAAAAACACAGGTGGCTATCTGCTCTGCTCCATGCTGCCTGCTGTTGTGGCTAATGTCTTCCACACATGCCTTCTTTAACCTTGGGACCTCACCTGCAGAAATCTTCTTTGGGCCCCCCAAAGGGGCTAACACTAGAGAGAACTCAGAGAATAAAACCTATCTCCTAGTTTTAGATCAGGAAATGTAGGTAAAAAGGGCCTTCTTTAGTTCAGGCATGTAGTGAGTGTTTTTAGATTTGCAAAGTGGATAAGATATATGTTCTACTAAAATGCTTACAACAGAGAAATAAACTGAATAATATTGCTACATCATAAAAATAGGACCAGAAGAGATCTTTATGGGTGTATATAGACTTCAGGCCTATGCCTGTCTTTTTTATGATATATTTTTATTTCTTGACTAAGATAAACAAGGAGAAATTTTCCTCTAAATTCCTTGTTTATTAAAGAAGCAAACCTTTAAAATAATAGACATTCTTTAAAAATATTTTATTGATATATGTTTGTAGTACATAATGATTGCATTTATCAGCAGGACTTTGTACATATACATATCACATCTTAACCATTTTTACTTTCCATTCCTCTTCCCCCTTCCCCATCACCCCTTCCTATCTTCACAAAGTCTGCCTCTCTGTTTCCTAGCACCTCTTTTCTTTTGCTCTTTAAATTACTTATATTTCAGATTTCTCATATAAGAGAAACCAAGAGATATTTAACCTTTTGTGTATGACTTACTTTTCTTAGCATTATGGTCACAGGTTCTATCCATTTTCCTACAGATAACTCAAATTTATCCTCCTTTGTGGCTGTACTCCAGTGTGTGTATACACATTTTCTTAATCCATTCATTCTTTAATGACCATATAGCCTGCTTCCACAATTTAGCTATTATGAATTGTGCTGCAATAAGCATAGGCATGCATGCATCATTGTAAAATGATGCCTTTAACTCTTTTGGGAAGATACCTAGAAGAGGTATATCTGGTCAAGTGGAATTAATAGTTTTAGATTTTTTGAGGAATCTCCACATTGATTTCCATAGTGGTTGGACTAGTTTACATTCCCACCAACAAAACAGAAGGGTTCTCCTCCCATCCTGCCAGTCTCATAAGCATTTGCTATTATTTTATTTCTTGATGATAGCCATTCTTTCTAGAGTAACATGGAATCTCAGCATTGTTTTCATTTGTATTTCTATAATGGCCAAAGATGGTAAACACTTTTTTATGTTCTTGACCACTTGTACTTCATTTTAGAAATATCTATTCATTTCAGTTGCCCATTCAACACATTTTTAAGGAAATTAAATTAGCTCTTGCAGGGCCACCTTTACTCCAATTATGACATAAATGTAATAATCCAATAGTGTTTTTAGTAGGGGATAAAAGTCTTTAAAATCACTTGTTGTGGATGAACTAATGATCAGCTTGTAGCTTGTAGTTCAACTTCCAGCTGAACTCAATCAGTGTGGTCCTGGGTGTGAAAGATCCACCTAAGGATTGTTGCCAACAGCATCAAAAGAGAACTAGAGGGGAACATGTTGTGCTTTTGATTCTCCTGGAGAAGTTCGTCACACTGGTTTTTCTAATATGAACACAGCTATTCTCATCATTGGAGGAGCTTGGGTCCTTGCTATCACTGAGGATGGCTGCAGTTCTTTTCAGGGGAGCTCTGGTTTTTACTGTGAGCGTCACTTCCTGGCTCCAGTGCAGATCCCTCAGCCTGTGCAGACTTTCTAGCTTTCACCAGTGGCTTTTGGGCTTCCCAGTGCAGATCCTTGATACAGACTCACATGAGACATTGTTGTAGGCTCTAGGCCTCCAGTTGGACTTGTGGATGACATTGCCCTGGGATCCAGGCCCTCAAATGGATTCCTTGGATCTCTACTGCATGGACAGATCTCCTGCACTCTTCTGCATTTGATTCTTTGGGTGAACATTATAAATAATCCTATAAATTATTTGTCCTGTATTAAATCTTTTCCATTGTAAACCCTGATTATAACATTGCCCTATTATTCACAAGATTCTTAGGTCATTTTCACAATTGTATGTAGGTTTAAGGGTAAGAATTCTAAGATAAAACAGGACAGGGAAGATTTATAGCTTTTTGAATTTTAATTCCTATTAGTACATATCTGAAGTACCTTGTTTGTGCTAAGAGTTGACTACATATGCTTTTCCCAAATCATGGAGATACCGACTGTATTTAGCAGGCAGTAACTAGAGATTTTGGGAAGCACATGCTCTCAAAGTGCAAGCTATTGTTAGTTAACAGGGGAAGTTAGTTATCAGAGCATTTAAATTTAGGATAACAGTGAAGAAAATAAAGTTTCATGAATTTTGGAATAGAATGGACAAAGAAAAAAAACGCATGTGAGAAGACAAAAAGATTTAATGTTTTGATCAGTTACATCTCAAAAGAGATTTAAGAATACTATTGTGCAGCTATCTCATATCTGTTGGACATGGGTTTTAAAGTTGTTTTATTATTCTAGAATCTAGTAACAACTAATGGATGGGAAGAGTTTATAAACATTGGACCCCCGAATTGGCTCCTTCCCACATTGCGTTCAGGAGAGTATGTTATGTGTTGCTGTTTCCCTGCCCTGAGATTTCCCCCAGCTACAGAATGCTGTGAAACTGTTGCTGCTGACAGCTCATCTGCTTTTGTTGTTTCTTCTTGTAGGAGACAGAGCATGTGGTGCCCAGCCAGTCGGAGTGCCTGGGTAGAGCAGGAACACCAGTTTATGAGAGTCCACAAAACAACTCCTTCAGGTGCCAGGAAACAGTGCGGCTCCAACCAAGGTGGGCCCTTTGTTGTTAGAACCTATATTGGGCCTAGAGTTTGCTTCTCAGAAACGCTAACTGAGGTGCTTGACAGCCCATAGGAACCAAGGCTCTCTGACTTTTGTCAACACTGCTTATGGTCAAAGAAGCTACTTAAAGGAGTTTAGAAGAAGAATCACTGAATTTGATAGAAATGTAAATGACACATTTTTTGTTTTTTTTTTTAATTTAAAGATAATTACCCTTAAAGCTCAGGGATGAGTGGACACAGATGCTGCCTTTAGAAATAAATGCTGTTTCTATTCATTATGCCCCTTTTTTTCCATGCCAGAAGCAATTAGATTTTCTTCTGTTATAATGACAAACTAGTGATGCCCTTGTACGTACCATGCCACTAGCTTTTCACCTGTGACTTCGCTCAGCCTTCTCCACTTGTTCAGGCAGAGTTTTACTCCTAGTTCCATTTTAGTAAAAGGTGAAAGATTCATGCGATCTGAGGATAAACCTGAGTTTAGCCCCATTTTGTGGAGAAGCCTGAGGCTGAGATGTTAAGGGACTTGCCTGATGTTATGCAAGCAAAAAAGACTGAGCTAAAATCTGATCCGACATATGCTGGTGTATGGTGTGGCAGGTGCAGCTTCCATGCTGACTCACGTATTGTCCTGTCCCCTTAGCTGTGCAGTGGCCCCAAGACTGGCCTGTCTAGTCTCCTAGGTCTGCCGGGGGCAGCTCCGGATCCAGGGAAAGGATGTGGGTGGAACACTGACTGCAGAAAGGTTGGCAGGACATTCTGATGGGAGCCTGGCATTGCAGCTGTCTATGGAAAATCTCTTCTAAAATAAACAGAAGAAAGAGTCCAACTGCTAGTTGTGTCAGCTGTCTTTGTAGGCTCCTATGTACGGTGTAATCATAGCCCTCACCCAGGAGAAAGGGAGTGCTGGGCTCTGAGCATGACCTTTAGAATTTTTTTTCCTAAGGCAGCCCAGTCCAAGTGAGTCAACAACTTTTTTTGTTCTTCAAAATGTCTGAAGGGCTGGAGGTCTAACAACTTTTTTTGTGCTTCAAAATGTCTAAAGGGCACTCCAAAGGTAAGGTGATACACCATCTAAGTGGGTTCACGGGTCTCCTTTATAAATCTCCCCACAAGTTGCCATCTCTTATATCTTTATTCTTACCTGATCTCAGGTAATAGCTATTGGAGCTGACTTTGTAATTTCCCTACTGATTGAAGCATCTTCTTACTTGAAGCCTCTTGTAACAGAGCTGTTTGGGACTGGCTAGAATCAATTCAGCCAGTTACTCTGCCTCCCCCCACCAGTCTGATGACTGCCTCCCTGGGCAAGAATAAGGTCAACACATTCCCATGCATATTTCAAAATAGTATCAAAGCAAAACAAAACAAACAAAACCCCAAACTAAATCATTCATGTTTGTGTTTGGAATGTATGGTAGTCTTTGGGGGTAGACATTCTGCAGAGACCAACAGGGAAAAGTATTACTAGCAATTAACCTTCTCAAGTTCTGCAAATTTAAAACTATTTTATATTCTACTTGTGGTGGGAATGGTAACTGGCAATTTTCCATTGTCAGAGGGCAAATTCAACATTTAGTAGGACTGTGTGGTGATCACTCACATGAGTAGTTAAGTGCTAATGGTATTGAGGTAAAACAGTTCTATCAGAGAACACAGAACAGCAATTCTTACACTGCTGTGTGATGTTATACTTTATTCAGATTTACAGAGATTTATATTTAGCTGTCTCCAGAAAACAAAAAGGCATGTATATGCACACTTGTGTAAAATCTTCAAAAGTTCATGGACTTTCACTGCATGCCAAGGACAGAAACTAGTGCAGAGCTGGCCATTACCCTTCCTCTTTATGTCAGGGACATGTTCTAGTCACCGGTAGTTTGGCAACTTCTTCCACAAGTAAATCTGGTCATGTTCCTCTATTCTTTAGCAAATCTCCATAAGATCCCAAGTACCTTGGCATTCTTTTCCCCTTCGAGCCTCCATTTCTCACTTTTACCATTCTTATGGGATCTAGCTTTCTGAGCTAACAGCATTCCAGAATATTCTGTGTGCCAGTGGCAGTAATTCCAGGATCTGGTGCTCACCCACAGATAAGAAGTGATGTTAGGCCATTTATGTCTCTTACTATTAGGTTGACTATTTAGATAAGGGTGGTAACCTTTAAACTACAGAGTTATTTATTATAACCATATTGGCACCACCCCAAGGACATTGTAATGGAACTTTAAAAAAAATACAGTATATCTCAAATTATTACAGGGATTGTGAAATTCGACGAACTGATGAAAGAAGATCTGAGGCTAAAAACAACTTTGAGTCAGGTAGCTCACATTCCTGATAACATTCCTCTTCTGTTTTAAGCCAGCATACGACCAGGTTTGGCTATATCCTGCCCAATAGAATCTTGATAGAGACACGATACTGTAACAGGACACGCCAGACCTCTGTCTGGCCTGAAGTGAGGGAAGAAGCTAGGCTAAACCTCAGCAGATGTAAAATGCCACCTTCTTGGAGGTAGGGCCTGGGGAGAAAGTTATCAACTTAATTAGCTCTGCAGGGAAGAGAAGGAACATCTTTCTATAGCAGGGAACTGTCAGGCATTCACATATCACTTGGGTAAGGCTTGAAGAATAGTCCTCAAAGAATTAATTCAATCTTATAAAAGTGACATTTCAGAGCTGATGAAGGCCAAGGGGTAAGTACTGATCTTTCCACACATGCCAAATAGTTTTATACCTACAGTGCTCAGAGCTTGTTGTATCTGGGGCTCTTTCTAGAAGGAGCCTTTATCTGAATCTGTAGATGAGCTCAGGTAGATTAGGAATATTCTTGCAAAAGTTTCAGTGTATGTAGACCATATCCGTTATCTAATTTTGCTGTAATAAATGACCATGTACTTGTGACTTAAAACACAAATTTGTTATGTCCTAGTTTTCTAGGATAGAAGTCCAATATGGGTCTTATGGGCCAAAGTAAAGGCGATGGAAGGACTGTGCTCCTTTCTAGAGGCTCTGAATAAAACCAGCTGCTTCTTCGCTTTTTCTTGTTTCCAGAGACTGCCTGTGTTCCGTGGTCTGTGGCCTCTTCTGCTGTCTTCAATGCCAGGAAAGCTGTATCACTGATCTTTTTCTGTGGTCACATCTCACTCTGAGCATGGCCAGGAAAAATTTTCTTGTTTTAGGTATTTATATGATTACACTGGCCTCACTGGGATAATCCAGGATGATCTCCATTTCTCAAGATCCTTAACTCAGTCACATCTGCAAAATCTTTTTATATATAAGGTAACATGGAGGGAGATCTAGTGAAGAATGAGAATGTGGATATCTTTTGGGGAGTCATGCATCTGCCTACTATATTTCTGTTTATTTTCCCAGAGCTAATCCATAAAGCATTTATCAAATAGGGCTCAGCATTCAAACAAGAAGGTTTAAAACTCCTCTCCTGACCTCCTCTATCTGTAAGTTCACTTGCTCTTCTGAATTTCCTCATTGGAGACACCTTCAGATCATTTAAGCCTGACTCATCATCTTTCATTGCTCTCCCATGCACACTTTTCAAGCCCCCACCCCTATATTTTATTCCTTAGTATTATGGTGTGGTACATCGGAGGTTTATTTGGTGTCCTACACTTGTCTCTGGTATGGATGTCTATTTGGCTTGTATTCTGTTTTAAAAGACTTTGACTCAATATTTATTTGGAAAAATCTGAAGATAGGATAATCCAGAGCCTACATTCCTGCAAGGCAACAGTAAACTGGAGCTGAGGAGCAGTTCTTCATTTTTCACAGTTCCCATTAGCTCTCTCCATTTATTTATGCTCTTCAATTTGTTTCTGTAGATATTTGATTTATAATGCCTGTTTCAATCCTTTTCTTCCCAGCAACTGTTCAGCCTTGGAACTCTCTGGCTGCCTGAAGTTAGCTCCTATTATGGTGCTGGCTGATGATGTCTTACTTTTTCACAGATGATGTGTTTATATTTTAACATGGACTTTCTGTGCATGTTAAGGAAAGTGAAGGATATTTTGCTAGTCTTCAATGCCTTGTGCTTTTCAAAACATGTAAGATTACAGAGTCACATTTAGTTAGTACCAGAAGAGGGGCCAGGAATATAGCTCAGCAGTGCAGTGCCTGCCTGGCAAGTGTGAGGTCCTGAGTTTGATTTCCAGTACCCACAGGCACACACACAAGTGAGAACTGGAGGAAGCCTTAGTAGTGGCTTAATACAATTTTCTATTTTGTAGTTGGACACCCAGTGAGATTGAAATTTGCTTAAATTCTCACTGCCCTTGGTAATGGACACAAGCTAAGCACCATCAGTCTGTTTAGCGCAGCTACTTGATGAATATGCATAAGTGTGACTGATTTCTATAGCAAAAGCCAGGGCCAATCCTGCAAACCCTCAAATAGGACAAAGGGGAATTAATGAATGTCAGAGAATACTAATGAAGTTGGGGATTTCTTACCCAGCTAAGTAAATTTACTTTTGGAAGTGATTAACTCACTAGTATTTAAAATATTGTATTAAAATTTATGACAGAATTAAATCTTTAATGTCATTAAAAAACTTGTCTATATAAACTGGAGCTATTTCATAGCATTGTCTTGCTATTAATTAGATCAGTGGTTACATTTGTACATTTTAGTTCATTAGCTTTATCTGGAAGTTCCCTGCTAGAGGAGGTCGAAGATTCTGAGTGAGAATAATAGACTTTGATGGCGTCCAATATTTTTGTGATGTTCTAGATGAAAGAAAAAGTTGGAAGCTTTGTTGCTTTATAGAAAGAGGAAGTTTTCTTGGCAGTAACTTTTCCATGGGGGATAAATTGTTTCATCTTTTGTTTTTGAGATGGACAACATGTGTGTTTTAGTAGCCAATTGTTTCTTATTTAAATGTTTTTTTCATAGAAGTGAGCACTGTTAAAAAGTCCTGTTAAAAGAGAAAGAATGAGGAAGAGAATTAACATCCAGAGATTTTTTTTTTAATAATACAAAGGACACAATCCCCCTTCTTGGACATACTACAGCAGAAACTCTGCATGTTTTTAAACATGTTTTTCTTTGTTCTCGTTAGTATATGCCAAGGGTTTTGTTTTTTATGAGAAGGACAAGGATAAGATAGAGATTTCAAAATAGCTTGTCTTCACTATATTTTGAAATCTTATCTCAAAAAACAACAAGAGAAAAGAGAAGGGAAGGGAAAGGAAAGGAAGAAAGAAAGGGAAGAAAAAGAAATGTAGAAAGGAAAAGGGAAGAAAGAAAAATAAAAGAATGAGAAGGAAAAAGAATAAAAAGAAATTTAGGGTCTTGTGTCTATCAGGTGACCTTGGTCACTTCACTCAAATTCTTAGTCCCCTGTTCTAACATGAAGAATTTGGGTCAAGTATTTCTTAATGCCCCCTCTGGCTCTAACACTGAAAATGCTCAGCACTCTAGATGTTTAAAGGATTAGACACAGGCAGACTTGAAGAGTAAGAGCCCTTGCAGACAAGATAAAAATAATTCCCCCTCCCTCCTGTAGAGCACAAAAATCCCACACCAAATCCTAAAACTACTGATTGGAAAAGAGCCCTTGCTTCATTATTTGGGGAATGGAATCCTTTTTTATTTTTTAAGGAATCTGCCATGGGTAATTTAATAAATTGTTAGCATTTTCATCAGAGAGTGATTAGGCATAAAGAAATGGGAAAGTGAGATTTTCATCATCACCATAATAATAATAATAAGAAGAAATTATTGAAAAGTGCAGAAAAGATGTAAAAATGTCTCATAAACCTACCACCATCTAGAACCCCTGTTACTGCTGTAGTATACATTCTTATGTTGGTGGTATTATTTGATGTTGGCATACAAAAGAATTATATATGAAAAGGGTTTCCTGATACACTGAGACATGGATCTTCTAGAAGTGTTATTGACTTCAAACAGACCCAAAAGCAGAAAGGTAGGCCAGAATGTACTATATATAATACTGCGCCCCTTCAATAGAAGATTAGTAAGCAGAGTATTCAAGTAGTGGATAATCACAGGATGAGTTCATCTATGGCTGAAGTGAACAAGTTTAATTTTCTCTAACACAGTAACATACAATTCTAAAAATATATTGTGCTTTACAGGTTTTGGTGTAGGAATAGCCCTTTGTTAGAAATAGTTCTAGGAGACAAACAGAAAACTTTGTCTTTAACATCTTACCATCCTGGAAATTTTCTTGCTCAATATGGAATAGATTTAAGAGAGAAAGTTTAGTAATCACTGTAAGAAACTGCACACAGAAACTTAAAACCTAATTTACAGTTTTGATCAGTTAAGTGTTCCATGTTCATGACTCATGAGAATGAGGCTGGTTTTGAACTTACCCTTCATCTCTCCATGAGGATGAGCCGTGAGGCCATGGCTGCTCCTCTCTTTCTGTTACAGTACTTATCAATAAGGTTATTCCTTTTCAAGACTGACACATACATCATGTATAGTGAAACATACAGCTCCCAGGCACTCCTTCTGTAAGTTTATTTTCTTCTATTCTTAACCAGTACTGGCTTAAAATTTGAGGGATATGCCCGGTGTGGTGGTGCACACCTGTAATCCCAGCACTTGGGAGGCTGAGGCAGGAGGATTGTTGCGAGTTCAAGACTAGCCTGAGCTACAAAGTGAGCTCAAGGCCAGCCTGAACTGTACAAGGAGACCCTGTCCCAAAAAAGACAAAAAAAAATTTGAGGGATAAAATTTACAGGTATATTTATAAAATGTATTAGAAACACATTGCTGTGAATTTGTGCCATATAATATTTTTCCATATCATCAAATACTCAATATCATATTTAGTAATTATAAAATATCCCATGTTTGTGTATATAGCATCATTTTTAACTGCAGCATATTTGACATTAGAATTTATATTTGTAGATATTGTTACAGAGCAAATATCTTTTAAAGCGTATCTTTTATGTACATCTACTGTATTTCCCTTCATTTGTATTCAAGGGTCAAATCTATCTAGGCATAGGATTTGACATGACTAACTGGAGTGTGACTTAGAATATAAAATCTTAAGTTACATGGTCATGGAAGAAGACAGGAACAGTGAACAGTGGATAACTGTGAGAGAATCAGGTACAAAGTTATGTGGCTGGATTGTTATATGTGTTGCAGTCATAGACAGTGGTTCTGGGTGGTGTTTGAGTCAATTCAAACCAATTCCTTCTCTCTTTACTGACTATTCACTAGATATTTTGATTTTACCTATCAGTCCCTCAGTTTTTTCACTCAGATTGGGCTAAGAGCAAAAAGCTTCTGCCTCTAATGTTCCCAGAGGCCAGAGAATGTTGGGGAGCAGCTCTAGTCTTTGTGGCAGTTGCAAATAGCCCTCAGATTTTGTATATTTCCCCTAGGGACTGTATGACTACCTGTTACTACCCTGTTGGGAAAAGCTAATTTGTATGTGGGATACCTTATATAAACTATGTTTTACATGGGGTCTTTATTAGTGTAGGAACATTTTCATTTATTCCGAGATGGAAAAAAGCAATTAAATACCAATATTATAATGCATTTTATATCTATGTTTATATCTATATATATCTATCACTATGTGCAGAAATACACTGAAAAGGTCATAAAGCAATATTTTACTAGCGGTTACTTTTGGGTTGGGTATTGTGGTGACTCAGGCACAATGTTCTTTGTTCTATTGCTC